TCCTTCCTTCCTTCCTTCCTTCCTTCCTTCCTTCCTTCCTTCCTTCCTTCCTTCCTTCCTTCCTTCCTTCCTTCCTTCCTTCCTTTTTCTTTCCCATTCTCCTTCTCCAGTGGCCACAATTATGACAAAAAAAGCAAAGAGGTCTGGCTAGGACTTTGCTTAAAGCAAAGTGTGTCCTTAAAAGGTAACGGTAAAGGTTCCCCTCGCACATACATACTAGTCGTTTCCAGCTCTAGGGGGCGGTTCTCATCTCTGTTACAAAGCCGAAGAGCCAGAGCTGTCCGACAACGTCTCCCTGGTCATGGGACTGGCAGGACTAAATGCCGAAGGCACATGGAACGCTGTTCCCTTCCCACCAAAGTGGTCCCTATTTTTCTACTTGCATTTTTTTACATGCTTTCGAACTGCTATGTTGGCCGAAGTTGGGACAAATAAGGGGAGCTCGCTCCATTGCGCAGTGCTAGGGATTCGAACAGCCGAATTGCCGACCTTTCTGATCGACAAGCTCAGCGTCTTAAGCCACTAAGCCACCGCGTCCCTATTAAGTTTGTCCTTAATTTTTAAACTACAAAATGTGTAATTAGATGCTTCCAAATGTTATGCAGGGTCGTTGCTGTTAAGATTAAACATCTGTAAGCCACCACTGCAACTTCATTTGTGAGTCAAGCTCACAAAAGAGTTGTAAAATTTGGAAGGTGAAATTGAACTGACCAGAACAGAGAAATGGAACAAGGTTTCTTGCCTTAGAATTCCTTGTCACTTGAAATCAATAAAGTTTTTTTTTTTTTTAAAAAGAATTCCTTGTCACTTGAGGCTCTACTCTACCTTTTAGTAGGGATAGTCCTTGATTTACAACCATTCATTTAGTGACCGTTTGAAGTTATGACACTGAAAAAGTGACTGTGGCTTGTACTTAATGACTATTGCAGCATTCCCCACAGTCTCATGATCGAAATTTGGGTGCTTAGTAACTAACATGTGCCAATGTAGCTTTAGGTCTAGTTTAATGAAACCTTCTTTTCATTAAACTAGACCTACCCAGTTCCAGCAACCGTTCTTCATATGTTTTAGCCTCCAGTCCCCTAATCATCCTGGTTGCTCTTCTCTGCACTCTTTCTAGAGTCTCAACATATTTTTTACATCGTGGTGACCAAAACTGGATGCAGTATTCCAAGTGTGGCCTCACCGAAGCATTAGAAAGTGGTATTAACACTTCATGTGATCCTGATTCTATCCCTCTGTTTATGCAGCCTAGAACTGTGTTGGCTTTTTTGGCAGCTGCAGCACACGGCTGGCTCATATTTAAGTGATTGTCCACTAGGACTCCAAGATATGAGCTGCGGTGGCGCAGTGGTCAGAGTGCAGTACTGCAGGCGACTTCTGCTGACTGCCGGCTGCCTGCAATTTGGCAGTTCGAATCTCACCGGGTTCAAGGTTGACTCAGCCTTCCATCCTTCCGAGGTGGGTAAAATGAGGACACAGATAGTCAAGGGAAAGAGGCTGACTCTGTAAACCGCTTAGAGAGGGCTGTGAAGCACTGTAAAGTGGTATATAAGTCTAAGTGCTATTGCTCCTCCTTCCTTCCTTCCTTCCTTCCTTCCTTCCTTCCTTCCTTCCTTCCTTCCTTTTCTTTCCCATTCTCCTTCCTGGTGGCACCATGGTTGGAATACCGTATTACAGGCTGACTCTGCTCAAGGCCAGGAATTCAATCCTGACTGGCTCAAGGTTGATTCAGCCTTCGTGAGGTGGGTAAAATGAGGACCCAGATTATTGGGGGAAACATGCTGACTCTGTTAACCACTTAGAGAGGGGCTGTAAAGCACTGTAAAGTGGTATATAAGTCTAAGTGCTATTGCTACTGCTATCTCTCTCACAGTTACTACTGTTCAGCAAGGGTACCATCCACATTCTACCTGAGCATTTGGTTTTTCTTGCCTAAATGAATTGCCCATGCCGTGAATGATCAGCCTAGCCTTAATCTATTTTTTATATTTATCCTCTCTTTGTCTCAAGATGGAAACCTTCTTTGCGCATGATTCCAGAAGAAGCCATCCACCATGCATGGATGGAGGAGCCATGGCCGCCCAGACTGAAACAGAAGCCCAAGATGGCGACGAAGCTGAGTGAGGCAACTTTCTACACCACGGAGAAGAAAAAGGAAAACGCTCATAAAAATACACAGTTAGAAAAAGGAGGTTGTTTAGTTTTAATTCTTGCTTTCCTTTTAAAATGATAATGATAATGATAATAATAGTAATAATAATAATAGTAATTACAGTAAATGATAATAGAATAGTAGTAAAAAAATAATAGTAAATGCAGACTCGGCAAAGAAGTGCATGAAACCATCGATCAGATACTGAGCTGTTGCAAGACAATTGCTCAGACTGACTACAAACAACGTCACAACACAGTCACTCAGATGGTCCACTGGAACTTGTGTCACAACTACCATCTGCCTGTAGCAAAGAACTGGTGGGATCATAAGCCTGAGAAAGTGGTAGAAAATGAGCATGAAAAACTACTGTGGGACTTCCGAATACAGACTGACAAAGTTTTGGAACACAATAGCCCGGATATCACGATTGTGGAGAAGAAAAAAGTGTGGATCATCGACATTACCATACCTGGTGACAGCAGAATCGACGAGAAACAACTTGAAAAAGTTACCAGATATCAGGACTTGAGAATCGAACTGCAGAGACTCTGGCCTACACCAGTCCACGTGGTTCCAGTGGTACTCGGCCCACTGGGTGCTGTGCCTAAAGACCTAGGCAAGCACTTAAAAACAATTGGCGCTGACAAGATCACCATTGGTCAGCTGCAGAAGGCCACCTTACTGGGATCTGCTCGCATAATCCGCCGATAAATCACGCAGTCCTAAACACTTGGGAAGTGTTTGACTAGTGATTTGTGATACGAAACTCACTATAGTTATCTTATTTGCTGTGTACACTGTCATTTTTGGTATATAATAATAGTAATAATAATAATCGTAATCAAGCTGTATATGTACTCCTCAATTTACAACTGTTCATTCAGGGACCGTACGAAGTTAGGACAGTGCTAAAAAACCACCAAAAAATGGTGACTGAGGGCTGGTCCTCACACTTACGACTGCCCCCAGGGTCATCTGGTCAAAATTTGGGCACTTGGCAACTACCTGTGTATTTTACAACAGTTATAACCTCCCAGGGAGATCACATAATCGCCATTTCCCAGGGGACTTCTGACAAGCTAAATCAATAGAGAGAAGCTGGACTTGCTTAAAGTCTGTGTGATTCATTGAACGACTGTGGCCAAAGACACAAAAATCTGGCATGACTCGCTTAGGAGCTATGACGTGGCATTGGTTAGAATGCAGCACAGGTAGCCTTCGGCTTGTAACAGTTCATTTCTCAGCCATTCGAAGTTATGACGCCACTGAAAAAAAGGGACCGATTACCTTGTTTCACACTTAATGACCTTTGCAGGCTCCCCGCGATCATGTGTGATCCAAATTCAGAGGCTTGAACAAACGGTTCATATTTATGACTGTTACTACATCCCGCAAACCCCACTTGCAACCTTCTCACAAACCAAATCAATGGGGAAGCCAGATTCAAGTAACACAAACCGGCTTGCTAACTTATCCCCGGCAGTCATTCGCTTAACAACGGTGGCGAGAAAGGTCATAAAGTGAGGCCAAACTCCCTCTAAAATGGTCTCGCTTAACAACAGACCTTTGGGGTTTGATTGTGGCCATAAGTTGAGGACTAGCTGTATAAAGAAAAAAAATTCCTAGTGATGTGTACACAGCAGTGGGCACAATCGGTTAGTTTTTAAGAAGCAGCTGTCAACTAAAAAAAACCAAAACTTTTTTGGTCTTTTTAGTTGTCAGCAGAAAAGGGAGGGGGGAAAGCAGTGCATTCCTTAAATGCTTCAGATAATTGTGAGGCGGCCAAAGCTGTTGGCACGCAAGATTATTACTGGAGAGCATGATTGATGACTCTTGACTACGGATGTGTCCCATTGGAGTATATACATTCAGGGGGTGGAGGGAAGACCAAGCTCAAGGGTGAAATGAATGATGTGTCTTAGTGTCAGCTGCACCCAGGTAACGCCGACATGGTCACTCCTAATAAATCATTTTTTTTTACTCTGAGAGATGTGGCTAGAGACTTATGATTTGAATGGGGGTGTATTGTTGGAGCCCTGACAGCCAGCCGACACTAAGACACATCACTTTGGGGTGTGGTTTAATTGATTGTTTTTTTGCACATTGCAGAGGGCTGGACTAGATGATCCCTTTGGTTCCTTCCAGCTCCACAGTTCTATGATTCTATGGCTTCTCTCTGTCAAGCTGAGTGGCAGGAAGCATAGCAGGTAGCCTTCATTAGATTTAAAAACAAAACAAAATAAACCAAAGGGGCCCACATTCCCTCTAAACTCAAAGAAAAGAGAAAAGAAAAATGAATTCAAAAACAGTTCTCACAGGTTGGCTATAGACTGGAGTTTGTCACAGTTCATTCCTGCTGCCTGCTTTTCATCGTCTTTCGATGGGCAGGCTAGTTGCCAGTAAAATAATATTACAGGTAGTCCTTGACTTACGACTGTTCAAAGTTACAACGGCACTAAAAAAAAGTGACTTAGGGCCATTTTTCACACGTATGGCCATTGCTACCTCCCCAATGCCTTAAAGAACCTTGTGGTTCACTCAATAACTGGGATGGTTCACTTAACAACCATGGCAAAAATATATATATCATAAAATCAGGCCCTGCTCACTTAACAACTGCTTTGCTTAACAGTAGAAGTCATCCTCCCAATTGTAGTTGTAACTTAGAGGATTACCTGTATCTGAAAATTTGTGACTGTATGACTGTAACTTTGTCACTTGTATCCTTGGCCAATAAAGAATTCTGTTCTGTTCTGTTCTGTTCTGTTCTATTCTATTTCTATTTCTATTTCCATTCCATTCCATTCCATTCTATTCTATTCTATTCTATTCTATTCTATTCTATTCTATTCTAT